CACTTCCATGCTCGGCAGATGCGGCTCGTGATCTCCCGGTCGACCTTCCCATCCGCGCAGATGGTACGTCCGAGGTACACAAACCGATCTGTCTGCTTGTACGTCTGGCCAGCGGCGCTGACCGCGAACGGGCGTTCCCCCAGCCCTTTCGGTAGCATGCACATGATCTCCGTCTTTGGCTCCGATACCATCAGTCCGAACAGGCCGGCCACGCGCACGATGATGGACATCATCTTTTCGAGGCTCTCCGGCGTGAGCGAGACGATGGCCGCGTCGTCAGCGCAGAGCATGTCCCACAGGGCCTCTGCGACCCACACCATCATGAGTGTGTCAGGTGGGGAGCAACCTTGTGTTGAAGCGAGGTTCAGCATCCAACCTGGACTGACTCTTATCTGTGTAACACCCCGAAGGTAGATCTCCGTCAGTTCATCTGACGTCACAATCTACGACAGTCTGAGGTAGCATTCACACTTGGAATGTTTTCGGAATGATGATGTCGACGAGACGATTCCAAGATCGACATCTTTCGGCACCGCCGCTCTTTCTTATTGTCGTGGTGTGGAGTTACCGAGCTTGCTGGAAAATCGACCCAGGTGGTATGGTATCTCGTGTCATCTACGGCAGTATATTGCTTCACGAAGGGTGAATGTATTTGACAACACAAACGACGCAACCTTGGGAAGCTCTCGACGGCGAGACGGCAGCTATTTGATGTTTTGTTGTTGTTGTTGTTGTTGTTGTTGTTTCTCACATTGGCTCTTTACTTTAGTCCACAAAGAATGGGGAGCCCGTGGACTCAAAACCCGGCACATACGACGCCGCGGGGGAACAGAACAAAAATAAATAGGGTACAAAGCACTCGGAAAAAAAAAAATGTGTCAAGGCTCGACTTTTCTTCTAACGGCCACTTTCTGCCGGCGGTGATGAGAAAAATCGAGCCTTGACAACCTGGCCCGGGTGAGGGGGGGGAGGGTAGGGGGGATACCTTCCGTCTACCACTCTGTAAGCATTCAGCAGTACGATCTCTGGGGGCGGGGAATCAGGATGTTCCCACGGGTGCGTGCACGCCCTAAACCCCGAACGTTTCTTCGGCCGGAGCAACACGTGTACCATAGACCTATGCATACCTACATTATGCATACACATATCACTTTCGTGATTCTTTTCGGCGTTCTTTTCCGTCTTACGATGGATACAGGGGTACATGGTATCTTTGGATGTTGGAACTCTTTTTTTTTTTGCACGCACTGAAACGCGAAACGAAATGTAGAACAAGACGGAATCACTAGCATGCATTTGATATCAACCAGTTGGTATCTACAACACTGCTACATTTCCCGGAGAGGTCTTCTATCTGTGGAACAGACGAATTTTGCTTCGTTGCCGTGAAAAAACCACACTTGATAAATGATTTAGGTGCCTGCTCTTTCCTCTGTTTTGAGTTGAAACGTACCATAAACATGGCAAGCTGCTGCTAATTAGATGTGTGCGTGTAGGGTTGAAACGTAGGGTAACTCACGGATTAGAATCGCTCGGCGGAGCGGTTTTTATTTGAAAATGTCACGGAGCGGTGCGGAGCGGTATATCCGTAGTGCATTTTTTTACACGGAGCGGTTTTTATCACTCCGTCGCATAAACCGCGCGAAACCGTGGCCTTGAAGACGGTCTTACGCCCGAAAATCCGTCGAAACCGCACGGATATCCGTACAAAATCGACGGAATACATGCAATTTTGCGAAAAACGTTGGGTTTGGTACACAGAACAGCGATTTTCCGCACGGTGTGCTGTGGTTGGAGGCCGCCGGTGACACCGTATGTGTTCGTCCTCGCCGCTATTTTGACAGACCAATTAATCAATTATTCAGAAAAGGACCGTTCCCCGCATCGATACCTCCTCGATTCCTCCTATGTTCCTGCAACACGTACAACAGCAGATGATTCCTCACTTGCCTCTCGTTGAAACTTTTTAGTATTACTACATACCTCATAGTACGTCCTGCTGTGAAAAAAGAATAGAATAATAGAAAAAAGCAAAAAAATACCGTGACTCCCTGGGAAAACCGTGGATTTCTTTTGCGGTTTTACCCGTGACTGCATTGTGGTTTCATTCGTGCTCGTGTGACGGTAGCTCAAACCGCTCCGTGGAAAAACCGCTCGTACGGATTTTTTGGAAGCTCCACGGAGCGGTTTATCCGAGGGCGAAATTCTCACGGAGCGGAGCGGTTTTTTGGAGGGAAAGTATCACGGAGCGGAGCGGTTAAAACCGCTCCGTGAAATACCCTGTTAAAACGTGAAAATGGCAAACTCCTGCTTGATGTGTGGAAGTACGGTTGAAACGTAACATGGCAAAACTGCTGCACGTACCCCCAGACAAGCGGTATTCATACACCCACGCATACTTACACTGACAGGACATTGAATATATACATAATTTGAAGTCGTTGTTCCTTATCCATGGTAGCCTCTTTTCTATGGATGGAGATCAGTAGCCTTCGCATTTTTTTTCTTTTTTCAGGAAACCTGTTGGACAAAGCGTATGCATACAATCGGGGTAGAGATGGATTCGTTCTGTCATTTTGAGGAAAAAAAAGAAAAACCGCTTCGCTACACGGGGGTAGTAAATTTCGTGCTATCCTGCCGCACGTTGTGCTCCCGGAGATGGGCCTTTTTTTGTAGGATCCTATCATCGGGTACTGAGAAGAAAAGTATTTATTTACTCGACATGTTGTTACCATTCCTTCTTTGGAGGTTGGGGGGGAGGAAGGGGGCGTCATCCCATTCCTTCTTGACGTCGGTCCTTGCAAGCTTCGGTGCCACGAGTCTGGACGTACCATCCGCGGTCACTGGGCAGGGGAGGGACATGACGTGCACATCTATCGTCTCCTATAAACCAAAAACAATAAACCAGAGTAACATCAACGTGATTGATGCCTTGCTGTAGGTTACAAAAAAAATAAAAAAAGGTAGCAGATAGTTCCGTCGGGGCACCGATCCTTTGCCCGACACGACGTCCCCTACACTGAGAACAGAACAAAAGCTATCGAGTAGATATAAAATGAGCTACAGCAGTAAGCGTTCGTCGCATCCAGTCTGCAGGGTTACCGGTGAACAGGACCGTCGTTTGTACACCTGAAAATCCATCAACAAGTATTAAGATACACCACGCGAAGGGAGATGACCAACGGCGCCTCCTGGTTAGTCTGCCGGCAGGGTTGCTGCTGATTCATACTGTACCATACTGTACCGCCAAGTGCCATTTTTCTTGGGTGAGGTGTTGTTCTCGAAGCGTGCACTCCGCCCGAGCACACGACGCCGGTCCCGCAAGCTGCGAAACCAACCTTGTAGGAAAGGGAAGGAAGCCCGTATGGACAAACTAAGGGGTCCTCCATAGTGCAGGTTGTATGTACTGCGGGTGCCCCGCTATTGTGAAGGTGAAACTGCTTGATACAGAGGGAATACGGTTATTACATTGAATCGTCCGGGTGCCCGCTATAGTGCGGTGAAATCGCTTGGCACATACCCGCACTATTAGAGCCCCCCCTCCCCCCACTGTAGTGCAGAGTCTTCCTGCGGCTTCCTTCTTCTCTGCTCTCTGCGAAGCACCCGACTGCTGCTTGCTGCTGTTTTCACCAGCCCTCACCCTTCACCGGTCGCACTGACTATTCGATTTATATATCATTTTTCTGGTTCTCAGATACCCGCGCGACTCTTGGTTCACGTTTGGATTCGTCGTACTCACATGTTGAGCAGTGGTTGCCTTGCTCCGCCCCCCCCAAATTTTCCCACAAAAAAAAGCGTAGTGCAGAATCTCCCCGCCGCTTCCTTCTTCTTTGCTCTGTGCATAGCACGCGACTACTGCTTGTGGTTGCTTTCAGCAGCCCTCACTTCCCCCCCCCCCAAATTTTACCATTGCTTTTTCTTCAAACAGATTTTAGGAAAAATAAAATTTGCGAACACGACGTCAAGACGGCAAGATGTCAAGCTACGAGCCTGAGTTCGAGCAGCAGCAGCGAAGGACGGGGAGGGGTCAAGAGCAGCAGCAGCAGGGCAGCGGCGGTGGGTTCAACCTCATCGGGAAGATGAAGCGCAGCAAGAAGCCAACCCCCCTCCCCGGCAAAATCGTGACCGCGGAGCCCCCAGAACAGACGCTTGATGTGGGTGGCAGCGGCAACGCGGGGGACGACGACCCCAAGGGAACGCCGCCTGCGAAGCCGGGAAAAAAGAAGAGCTTCGGCAAGCCGTCCCTTTTGGTCCGAAAGGGCGGAAAGAAGAGCCCTTCGAACACCAAGAAGGCCGCTCGAGGCAAGGGGGACAAGACGGGTAAGGGGGGGCGGGGCGACGGCGATGGCGATGCGGAGGAGGAAGAGGATAGATACGAGCATCTACTCGACGCGGGAGAAACGGACGGAACAGCTGGTGAGTGAACTACCGTATACGACACAAGATGCCACACCCCCTAGACCGACTTTCAGAGCTCGAATAACGTATATGACACAAGATAACACACCCCCTGGACCGATTTTCAGAGCTCGAATAACGTATATGACACAAGATAACACACCCCCTGGACCGACGTTCAGAGCTCGAATAACGTATTTGACACAAGATAACACACCCCCTGGACCGACTTTCAGATCTCGAATAACGTATTTGACACGAGATAACACACCCCGTGGACCGACTTTCAGAGCTCGAATAACGTATATGACACAAGATATCACACGCCCTGGACCGATTTTCAAATCTCCATGTCTCAATAAGCGGAAAGAGGGACAGCGCCGAAAACGGCGGCGTTGAACCCATCTGGTCGAGAGCTCTCCGAAAATGTGTCGTTTCGTTGAAGTAATCGAGCTTTGAAAGTCGGTCCAGGGTGTGTGCTATCTTGTGTGGTAACGGTGTTCAGAGTAGTGTGAAGTAGTTCACACCTCTCTCTCGTTTTTTTTTTTTTGGTTTTGCGCCTCCCTCTGTTGCATTTATAGGAATCCTATGTAAAAAAAAAAAGCGTGCACATGACCCCTTCGCGATTCAACGTGGTACAGCAGTAGTTGCCATCTCTCTCTCTCCTGTCTCTCTTTCCCTCTCCCCTCCGTTGTGATCAGTTGTCATCCTTCCCAAGACATCACTCACCTCAACAACACTCAACATCCATTGCCACCACTAACATCCGTACAAGAACAAGAACAACATCTGAAAGTTAGAAAATATCCAAAACAAAACACATACAACGATGCAACCCCAAATGAACACACACACGGCTTGGGAGAAAGAGAAAGAACCCATGCATACAGCGTACGGGATGTTTGCCATCGACTCTCTCTTTGTCTCCCTCGCAATCGACTTGCTCTATTTCATCCCGCACCTGCTTCTTGATCTTATTGTTGACAATTTTCGCCCCTGAACACATTTTATTTGGTGCAGACATCCCGCAAGAATACCGAGACGAGGACGGCAACTTCAAGAGGATGCCTGTACCACGGCACCTCGGCTCCCTAACTCGACGAAGACCTCCACTCGTCGCCGTCTTTGGGGTGAGTTGTTGTTGTTGTTGTTGTTGTTGTTGTTGCTCGGCTCCCTAACTCGACGAAGACCTCCACTCGTCGCCGTCTTTGGGGTGAGTTGTTGTTGTTGTTGTTGCTGTAGCTGTAGCGTGTTGTTGTTGTTGCTGTTGTCCTCGAAAGTTCGAATACGTTCAGTAAAAGAGCACCGATATACATGTGCACCGCCCTGCCGCGGTTGATCGATAACCCTATCCCTAACCAATCAGGTGGCTGGGTGCGGCAAGTCTCGACTGGCGAGCGCACTGATGGGAAGGCGACGAGAAAAGGAATACCGGGCGACGTTCGGGGTGGGGTCGAAGACGGTTGAGCCGAAGGTACAGTCGGCGACTTTTTTGTGTGTGTGTGTGTTTTTTTTTAGGTTGGTATCGTCTTGTTCATGTGGTCGCGATGGTTGTTGTTATTTTTGTCGAGGTTGTTCTCTTTGTTGTTCTGGTTATCCTCTTGTTCATGGTCGTGATGATGTTTTCATTTCTTGTCGATGGTGTTGTTGCGGTTCCTGTAGCTGCAGCCGTTGTTGTTGTTGTTGTTGTTGTTGCTGTCCAATACTCCTACTCTCGATTTTGATTTGTGTTTGTGGGCCTTTGTCTTTCGGTCTCTGTGTTACCCCTCCCGTTTCACTGGGTAAAAACATGGTATCATGGTTTCAAAGCAAGAACGTGCGCAGCTACACCCCAAAGCCTGCATCCCTGACATTTTCTTGACGTCTCGTCGACCCCGACCTTCCGCTTTTCCGACGTTGTTACGCGATGTTTACGTGAAAGTTGGTGGTGGGTGAAGAGCTGTCGGTTTTGGATACCCCGGGCCTCCCGGACCCCCTGCCCCGAAACTCGGACACGTACTACAACGACACGGTGACCAAGCTCCGCTCGGTGGGCTACGCCAACGCCATCCTGTTCGTGGTCACCCAGGTAAAACCCTACCCCTAATCTCAAGGTAACTACAAAAGGTTAATCAGCCTTCCAGCCAACCAACTACAAGCTCCATCCACCCCAACCCGAAACGCACGAGTTTGTTGTCTGCGATTTTTTTCCGCGGACACTGGTTCTCGTCTCTTCTCTCTTTCCCGAGAAAAGTCTCGGCCCCTCCAACCACCACCATCACCCCCCTTCCACCACCACCGAAAACCTGATTCCGCGGGGCTGCCTTGGCCGATACCCGTGTGTCCCTCATGTGCGTTCGTTTCTTGCGCGGCGCCGTCCTCTTGCTCTTTTCTGCCCCTCTCGCTTGTGTCTTTCGTACCCTCTACCTACTGCCGGATGTATGGCCGGCCACCTCCCTTGTTGTCCGTGTCCTTTGTACCCTGCCTGTTGACGCCATATGCGTGCCTGCCTGCCTGCCTGCCTGCCTGCCTGCCTGCCTGCTGTACCCCCTCGTGGCCATGCTGGTGTCTGTACCTCATTCTGAATGATGACGCCATTTGTTGCCTCCCTGCCTCCCTGCTGTGTATCTCTGCTGCTGCGAGAGCAGGAGAGGGTAACCCCGACGCTGATCAAGAACTACGGGCTGCTGTACAGAGCTCTGAACCGACTCGATTGCGTGAAGATGTTCGTGCTGCGGAGAGAGACGAGCTACTTGCTCCTCAACAAGGCAGATCAGGTTCGTTCGTGGTCTCGTTTGCTTTTAGAGTGAGAGATTTTGGCCCGATTCCCTCGGTGTACACGACACAAGATAAGCCACCTCGTGGGCCGGTTTTCACAGCTCGATTACTCCACGGACGAAGAGGATTCTTGTACGAAACGATAGGTTGTCGGACAGCTCTCGACCAGACGGCTTCAACACCGTCGTTTTGGGTGCTGCGACTCTTTCGGCTGTTGATCAAGCGAGCTTCGAAAATCGGTCCAGGGTATTGTGTTATCTCGTAGTCAGCTGAACGCCCCCAACGGCACTCCGGCACTTCGGGCCACGGTATCACCGGTTTGAGAGTTTGGCGCGAACTGCTGGAAACCCGTATGTCGTCGTCGTTTTGTGGTGTTTAGTTAACCTACCTCATTCCTCACAACGATTTGATGATAAGACGCCAACGTTCCGACAGACGGTTCCTAGGTATCCACAAACTGCGTCCCCTGTTCTTGTACGCATATCGTTTTTTTTTTTTTCTTGTTCTCTTCAGGAGGCGCACGAGAGCGAGTCGCGAAGTACCGTGAACCAGATCCTCGACGCAACCAACCTCAAGAACTTCAGCAAGATGCAATTCTTCATGCTGACGAACGGCTCGGGAGAAGAGCAGGACAAGCAGGTCAAGAACATGAGAGAACAGGTGAGCGAAAGATAGAAGAGAGAAGAGCCTCGTACGTTTGAGGAATTTTGATTTTGCGTTTAATTGCTTGGTTGGTTCCGTTTGAGGGCGCTTCTGGTGTTTTATTTTGGTCTATATCCGTGCGTTTTGCGGCTGGTGGGGTTGGTAATTGCATGCGTTGGAGAGACACAGAGAGGGTGAATGGGAAAGGGGGAGGGGGCAAGACAGATACCGACCCACACACATGCGACCCCGGTTGGGTCGTCTAGCTAGTAGAAGTGGAGGATAGGGGCCAGAGGGGCAGACGACAGAGTCCAATGATGGGAGAAAAACAAAAACAAAACAAAACATGTTGTTAGTAAACCGTAATCGACTTCGTAAGTCGCGAGGGAAGGGATTGCTGTACCCTTCTCGCGATAAAAATACCTCAGACAGGAACCGCAGGAGGGGGTCCAGCCCCCCCCTCCTATGTGACCCCGGTTGGGTCGTCTAGCTAGTAGAAGTGGAGGATAGGGGCCAGAGGGGCAGACGACAGAGTCCAACGATGAGAGAAAAAAAAAAACAACATGCGGAGAGAGACAGAGACGAAGACAGAGAGAGACAGAAACGAAGACACAGATGGAGATGGAGATGGAGATCACGGAGAACAGCACGGAGTGCCTACCCACCTTCGCAAACGCAAACGCACTAAAGGAATAAAAAACGCAGATTCGATGCAACATGTCCAGCAACTGTTGTTGTTGTTTTCACATCAAAAACCGTTCCAATCTCTCTCTACCCTGTACCTTCGTATGTCCGTACTGATACAACACTCGACGCCGTCGATTCCCGTGGTCGCAGGCTAACTTACCCTAAAAAGGTACACTCAAATTAAATGGCCCCGAGGTGTCCGCAATTCATTACCTTCTTACGATACCGATGGATGTCGTGCGTTGCCTCGTTCGCACGCATGTTCTTCTTTGTCCCCACTTTTGATCTGTTGTCCTATTTTTGTTCTTAGCCTGTTCTTGTTTTCTTTCCTTTCGTCCTCGTTTTATTCTTCTGTCCATGTTTTTTTCTTTCCTTGTTCGTCTTTCGTTTTTTACTTACTTATTTTTTTCTTTATTTCGTCCCTTGTTTTCTTTCTCTTGTCCCGTCTTTTCGTTCATTTTTTTTGTCGGTTCTGCGTTTTTTCTGTGTCATGTATTCAGGTAAAGAGTTCGCCAAGGGTCGAGGTAAGCGCGACGGAAGGGCTGCGGCTCACGACGGAGGTGAAGTCGGACGACCTCGACGGCAAGGGGTCGGACGACGGGAGCGGCAGCAACTCGAGCAGCAGCGGCAGCGTGAGGAGCAGGAAGCTGAGGAGCAGGAAGAAGGGCTCGTTCGATTCGTATGCGTTCGAAAAGGCGGCGGCCGCAGGGCCCCCTGACGGCGGCGACCAGCTTTCTTCCGACAAGGTTGGCAAGGCCGGGTGCTCCGTGATGTAGACGGGTGTGTGTGTGTGGCGGGGGGTATGCTGATCGTTCTTCAGCATGCCCATCGGCAATCGTCTGCCTACCCGCCGTTGACGCCCTCGCAATGCCCAAGAAACCCTGGGCGCGCCGGGTGCGATTAACCGATGTGTTCGTTTGGTGGGGGGAGCATCTCTGTATCCTTCTTTCCTTTTTGATAGATTTGGGTGTCGCGATCGAGCCATCAAGTTTGGATTCTCTACCAGTACAGAAGCAGTATGTTGCAACTTAACGACTTCTATATCGTGTAGAATGAGTGCAAGCCCCCGCCACGCAGCAGCTGAGGCAGCAGAGGCAGAGGCAGCAGCAGCAGCAGCAGCAGCAGCAGCAGCAGCAGCAGCAGCAGCAGCAGCAGCAGCAGCAGGACGGCAGCACTACCGCCACTCTCTGTACCAGCAACGCACCGGAAAACGAGTCTTGGCCGCAAGGAAAAGAAATCCCGTCGCAGCAGTGGTTACGCTCAGCGTTTTTCACCGGTTCGTTTCGCGTGAACCGGTCGCAGAACCACTTGATGATGCACGTGACAGAGCCCCCCTGAGGGCATGCCTGTCATGGTGGAACGTGACACCGTGACCGCGGGTTGCCAGATGACTTTTTTATGCTTGAACGGACACGCCGTTCCACTTCTTTTATGGTGTACCAAGAATGTACGACATTGCGTTTCTCTCCTTTTTGCAGTCTGCGGAGCGCCCCCCTACTGTTGTAAAGTTTTACTCCTCGTGGTGGATTTCCTTTTCTGTTGGTAGGGTTTTAGTGCTTTTTTACGCCCCTTCTTTGAATTGAAGTGTTCCAACGTTTGTTTTTTGTATTACATGAAGCAGTTTCAGGTCTTTTTGCGTGTGGCATGGAAGTTGCCTGGGGGTGCCGCAGGTGCGTCGGTACCCCCCCCCTCCCGCGCCCCCGCACACGGAATGATTGGTCTTGCGAGGCTTGTTTTTCGCGACGGGGAGGCATGGCCGCTTGGCATCGAGACACTTTCGGGCTTTCGGGGTATTCTGCTGGAATTGTCGTGAAAATAGATTACTTTGCTCCCCAATCTGGGGAGCACACACCGTTGACTAGAAGAGGGCGGGGAGTGAGTTGATCCTTGCCACCCCGACCCCCACTACCCGAAACTGGGTGACATTGCGTTTTTTTTTTCCTTTTGCTGGTGTTGCCGGGTGTGTGTGTGTGTTTTTTTTTTCGTTTTTTTTTGCCTTCTTCTCGGTGTTACTTCTGTGCGCAACGACGCACAACGCTTCAGGGATTTGAGTGACGGTTGGGGGGGGGGGTTAAGGTCCGCGGTTTGTTTCTGCCAGCACTGGGGGACGCGCCCGCTGGGGATAGCGAAGGGGTGGCTGAACGAATCAAACGCTCAGCCCATGTGATGAGATGAATACAACGCAGAGGCAGCAGGGCGGGCGTGGTAGAAGGGGCGCCCTGTTGTCTTGGATGAAAATGGGTTTTCCGTTTTCGGGTTTTCGGGATAATGTGTTTCCATCGAATTGATTTTTTCGTTGTGGGGAAGAATTTCCATGAAACGTGTTTTTTTTTTTGCGTTTTCGGGGCGAGGGGATCCGAATGGAGTCCCCCCCCCCTGTTTTCGGGGTTTGAGGTTGCACCCCTGGTTGGCTTCTCGCCTGTTTTCTTGCGTACGGCACACGCGGGAGGGGAGGAGCAGCGCTCCCTCTGGGCTTGCCGGCGCGAATTCGGAGCCAACCTCAGGGCTGCCGGAAGGGGATAGCCGATGTTGGTTCAAAGTCCGGATAACGTGGACGGTTGTGCATAGAACGTTGCGCCGCTATCGTCGGGGTACAGGCTATTCTTGTAGCCGCAAGTGTGAGTGTCTTGATTAGTTGACATGTTCTTGGACGGCTAATTTTCAGTTCTGCGGAATTTCTGTGTCCTGTCTTGAGTGTTGTGGCATGTACGTGTCGGGCTGAGTCATAAAGCGTTTTGAGCTTGGCAGTGCTGTGTTTTTCGTCCTCTTTGTGGTTGGTTTGGGATGTCGAGCTGAGTCATGAAGCGTGTTGAGCTCGACAACAATGCTTGTTCTATCTCGTGTGTCTTCGTCCTTGTGGTTGACATGTACGCGTGGGCTGAGTGCCGATCTTTTAGCTTGACAACAATGCTGTCCGTTTTATTTTATTCGTGATGGAGGTGTGGGGCCAAGTCATGAGCTGTTTGAGTCTTGGTAATATAACGATGCTGTCTTTTTTGTGAACGTCGGTTGGGCTGCTGGTGGCGTGGACGGAAGGTGTGTGTACCGATTAGGTGAAATATATAAATCCTTGGGTGAGCGGTTACTTTTCTTGACGTGGGGTGATCGAACGTTGAGCCTTTTGGCGACATTGCTTGTGCTGTGCGTGGGGTTGCGGTCGGTAAATTCGCCTTTTTGTTGGCCGCTTTGAACGCAAGCCTCGAAATGGTCTACAGAAGAATAGATGACGGCGCATTAGTGCACGTTATTTTGATTTGTGTTGCGAGTGCTGCTGCACTCCCCTCGCGTTATCATTATGCTATAATAGTTGATACTAATGGAAGGTAAGCACCGCCTCAGGTGGAGGACCCCTTCTGTGTGGCGACGGATTGTAGTTTCCCGCCATAAACTTTGTGAGCGCTGACTTAATGTGACGAAGAAAAAATCTGCGGCCGCGGTGCTGCCGCCTTCTCTCGGTCTGCACGGAGAGAAGGAGATGGAACGGACGGAAAGAAGGCGGGGTGGTGGGAGAGAGGAACTCCAACTGCAATGACTAGAGTGAGGTTCGCTACAACTACGCGTGCGTGTGTTTCCGTGAAGGATGGTCTCTTTCTGGAATGAAGTGCGAGGTTCTCGTCAACACTCCCGGCTAGTATAAGTTATTTCGCACACACCGAACCGGACGTGCGCGCGCGTGGAATCGTTCTGTGTGCAACTGACCTCTCAAGTCACACCGTTATTCCTGCTCGTATGCGAGTGAGCAGGCACAACAGAAACAAAAAATTGCTCTCGTGATGCAGTTCAATTCAAAGTGTGTGGGTTTGGTTAATACTACTGTGGGGTGTTTTTTCCTGGTTTTGGTAGGCAGCATGTTGCAATGCTACGCCAATGAGCTTCCCCGCTTAGCGGAGGGACGAATATATGCGAGCAGACAGGATCAAATGCAGTGCACTAGCCCTCCTCTCCTTGGAGACTGCCGTTCTTGTGGCGCCTCTCGTGGTAGCATATATATGTAGCTATTGTAGATAGGCCTCCATCAGCAGCACTTTTTCCCCGGCATAGAGCGATATCTCCGCTGTGGTTGACATGCTTGACAAGGGTGCATGCGGAATGCTACTGCTGTAATAGTCTAATAACACGCGGTTGAAGCACTGTGAGAACCACCCGAACCGGAACCTACCTGTGGAGCGGGGACACAGGAACGGGGTATTGTCTCGCACGCTTGCAACGGGCATAGCTAAACGGGCAGGTAAATATAATAACGTTGTGATGGTAGATCGTATCACAGCATCCATGTTTTCCATCATACGAACTATTCTCTTCGACCTGGAACCAGACTGAAGCTCTCTCTATGTGTACTATCACCGGTATATGCACATACGGTACATGCAGCGGTAGCCTACAGCAGGTCTAGTCTACAGCAGTGGCACCAACCTACACTGATTTGTTGAAATCTTTATTTGTACAGCGGGGGTTGGATACGATCCGCTTTTATTATCTTCCAAGGTGAAACATTTGCTACTCAGTCACACACATCATCAGCCCCGCCCACAGATTAATGTCTAACGCATCATCCTCAGCCCCGCCGACAGACTAAGGTCTAACGTACAGGTTTGGTTGGTTCCGTTGCGCTCGTTCTTCTTCACATAGTCTACGTATCTTTGTGAGCACGGATCTTGTCACGAATCAGTCACCTCATCATTTGTGATCGCCTGCTGCTGTAGCTGCATTATATCCAGCTGAGGTACCCCTCAGCCCTCACCGCAGAGAGAACTCAACGCCTTGGGACCACAGACTAATCTGTTGACAATGAACAAGTCAAAGAAGAGCGGTCGCGGTGGTGTGGACGCCAGCCGCGCCGTTGCTCGGATGACACTCTTGTTGTTCGCAGCATGTTTCTCGTGGGTTGTTCGCGGGTACGACGGCGACAGGGGAAGGCCTGGATGGGACCTCGTCGTGCCGTCGACCAGCGCTTTGCCGAGCATCTCACCCCCCGAGTCCTTCAACCGCAGCGTCAACAACGTCCTGCCGTTGGGCACCTCCGTCGGCCTCTCTGAGGCGCGCCCTGCCCGCCTCCAAACCAACAAGTTCTACTCCAACTTCCTGGTAAGCGCGACTGCTGTGGGCCGCACAAGCACACACAGCAGCAGTTCGTCTATCTAGAAATAGGAATAGTTTTCATGGATGGGCAATAGTCCGCGTCATGTGGAACTCTTGTTTGGGTGTCCGGGATCCCTAAGGATTGGCCTAGGTTCTTTGCATCGCCACCGCCGCGAATCCGCCTCAGTCAGTATCGTAACAGGTTTTCCAGTAGGTCGGCAGTGGTGGCAATCGAGACGTGACGGTGATTTTTATTAGACTAGACTATATCTAGACTACATCCATCCGTCGTTTTTGATCCGGTGGCTGGCTGTCATCGAAAGGTGCGCTCTGTGGCCGTCGCTTTTCTCTCTTTCTACATGTCAGAGGTACATAGAGGGAGTGTGTTTCTTTGCCTATGCGGCATACGGCAAGTTTTTGGACGATTGGTGTGTCTTTCGGTCGAGTTCCTCGAAAAATGTCAAGAAAAGGAAAAGATACGAGGAAAACTTTGTCTCTGAAGCAGTCGAAAGTATCACTGAACAGAAAAATATGTGTTTTCAACACGTTCATGGCATTTACTGGCCTGTGGTATTGGAAATTCCGGGTGGGTGTATTCCGCCTGCTATAGATTCTGTTTCTAAGTTAAGCAGTGCTAGACTATCCAATGTTCTGTACAACGGATTATCCTCGTTTGCCGGGAAGGGTCTTCTCGTGATAATCTTGGAATGAACGAGGACCAGCGTTACGGCATGAAATCAATGGGGCTCGACGTACAGAAACGTCGAGCAGACTGCAATACATTCGCCGAGCAAGGAAAGAATAATCAACGAGAGGCTGGCCGCCTGCCCGCCGGTATCTGACTGCACGTCGCCATGTTTGGCGTCCTCACACAACAACACCAACGGCGATATTGCCTGTGCATCTCCGTGCTTAGCCACTCGTAGGGGGGCGATGAACAGATCTTCGGCATGAACTACAATCGCCATGGTGCATCTATATCTCCCAAGCTGGAAAACACATCGGGACAAAGCTTGCGTCGGCCGAGCAACCGTTGGCATTCCCAACCTCCAACAACAGCTACATTTGCATGCCGAAAAGAAATATGTTGTGGAACGAAAGAACTCGCTTCCCTACACGAAAGAATATTCAGGCACAGCGTGACGGTTCTTCCAAGCGCTCTCGGTCCTGGATGGCCGCTCGTCAGCATGATGTTGGCAAAAGAAGCAAAATAATTTTCCTTAAACCGACCTTGACTCGAATACTAGACTACAGCAGTAGTATACATATGAGCATTGCACACCTTACCAGTACGACCGCTGTATCTCAACCTAACCGCCACCAGATTGACGGGCCTTCCAAGGCGGCGTGGACGCTCCCTTACCTTGTGACCGTGAACAACGAGTACCCGTTCGGCATGTACGTCAGCCACCCCAGATACTTTCCGGGGCAGTTCGCATATGACGGGCGCCTCAAGTGGTACGCGACGTCCTCGAACAAGGACCTAATCATGACCGCCCAGGTGAGAAGATTGCCTCTGGTGCTTGATGGTGTGCGTTGTGTTCTGTTGTTGTTGTTGTTGTTGTTGTTGTTGTTGTTGTTGTTGTTGTTGTTGTTGTTGTTGTTGTTGTTGCTGCTGCTGTTGTCATTGTTGTAGACAGAACTGTCTGTCCCGAATGTGCTTCGTGAGGTGCCCTTCCGTCCCCGATATTGCAAGGACACCCCCCACCACTCACCCCAATGTTATACATCAATCCTGTTTCATGCTTGCGGGGTACCTATAGAGCCTTTTAGACTCCCAGCAAGAGGCTCTCATCGTTCGCCCTCACCCCCCCACTGGCTCTCCGGCTTCTGGTGTTGAATGAAGACCGGTCCGCCACGAGCGTGTTGGAGCTCTTCCCTCAACATCCAACTAGGTGTGTCCTGTGTGGGCGCACTGGCCCTAAACGGAACAGGAGCTAAAGCGCCAACCACATCGTTGCACACACACGTTTGTCCGCCACGAATTGTTTCTGCACGCGTGCGTTTGTGTCCGCCCGCCTTTTCTTCTCGCAGGAGCTAAGCGCCAACCACGTCGCGGTTATCTCCGCCTTCGACCCCTCGGGACTGTCGGCCGAGATAACCTTCACCTCCGAAGACCAGGAATTCAACACCGGCGGCAGCATGACCACCTTTGTCGTGAGGGGCATGGTGAGGTCATGCGCGGTTCCCCCCCACACGAACGTTTCAGACTACCCCCCTACCCCCTCGGTGTTTGCCATCGGGATCGGGTTTTCGTCGCTTGGCAATGACGTTGTAAAACGAGCCCATTCACTTCGTGAACTCGGCAACCAGGTTACCGTTTTGTTTTTTCCTCTTTTTTTTTTTGGCGGTAACCATAATGATGGTCGAGTAGATGATGTTGTGCGGGGTGGAGAAGCCTCACTCCGCGCAAGGGGGATGATCGCACCACGTTGTGATAAAATGGTCAAGCACCCTCGAGGCAGTTCCGCAGTGCTTACAACTGTCTCTGGAAATGAAGTACCACAAAATAAATTAAGTCATACGCAGCTGTCATCCGTACGCAAGGAAGTAAGCACAAGATGCCGAACACCCTTAGCAGGATGCAGCGCACC